TAAATAACTTATATAACTTGATGGTTTTGACAAGTCATATTGTTCATTCATGTATTTATTATTTGCTTCTACTTTTTTATGAGCACATTGAGTCATCCCGCCACGAAGACCTTTTTCAATCATTTCATACATGTCTTTATTATGTATTTGTTGAAGTCTAACACCAGTAAGAGATAAGAAGGCAGACCACGAATAATTAGGTAATGTTATGTAATGAGCAGGGTCTAAACCATAATAATTTAAGCACATATCCCTAAAGTTTTCAAAAACATCACTAAGCAAATAAACATCTGTCATCAAATATAAATCATGGTATTCACCTAGGTTTTTGATATTGAAATTATCCCATATTACTTTTGCCCTTGTGTGTTGTGTATCTGTTATACCTTCTTCATATAATTTACTGTAAAAGTCTTCTATATTCGGTAATTGCGATTCATTGAATTTATCAAATGAATTCATGTAGTCGTAAGGATAAACTCCTTTTTCAGTTAATAAGTCTAAATCGGTTTTATTTCTAATATATGGATTTGCTGATGAAAATCGGAAATTATCCTTCCAGTCATTCCGCTTTTTATATATAGGTTTATCATGTTCATCTTTACCTACTATGTCATATTTATTTAACTTAACTAATTTATCCAAAGATGCTGAGAGAAAAGCCATGCTATCTTTAAACTGTAATGAACCAAATGAAAATGTAATAAACTTTTCGCTATTTTGTGCTATTACATCTATTCTCTTATTTTCGTTCAATTCCTTATTTATTTCATTTGCTTTGCCTATTATTAAGTGAGAGTCATAGTTTTTTAAATTATGAAAAAATACTGGTATCTTGAAATATCTAAATGAATAATCCAAATTACATTTTTCGTGAGCACAACCTCTATAAATACCGGTAAAATGACAGTGGTCTCTGACTTTTGTATCTTCTGGTTTAAGATTCTTATTACATATTGAACATACAGTAGCTTTTCTAAATTCTGCTTCTTGTTCATCTGTAATATCCATTGGTTTATTAACATTCATTTTATCAAAAATATCTTTTTTAATTTCTCTTAATTTATTTACAAAGTGGTCTAAACAATCCTCTCCACGGTATAAAAAAGGTTGACTTGTATTATCAATAGAATTTACAACATTCAACATATAACCGCATGGTTTATGTTCCTGATACGTGCCCTTGATGCCATTATTTGAATTTACAGTTATACACTCAAAATCTCCATAAACAACAAATGGACATTTTAATTTTGTATTGTATTTTTCAAATTCAATATAACTACCTTCTTTTGGTAATTTAAACTGTTGTCCATGTGTTGCCATACAACCAGTTTCATAATGTTTTGTTAATAAATCCTTTCTAGTAAAAGCGTGAGAACAATAATGACAATAATGTTTTGGTTGGTCATTTTTGTTTGTTTGCCAGTTCATTAGACGACTTAGACTTTTAATAACTACATAATGATTATTATTATTGATTTCAATTTTCAAAAGGTTTATTTGATGTTTAGCATCTCTTGTTTTAGTTCTGTAATCAATTATAATTTTCTTTTCATTCAAAGTATCATCAATTTCATAAACATTGATTGAAACTAACTTACTATTATTTTCTTCAAACCTTTCAATATCTTTATTACCAGTTGGAAATTTAACACCTTCCCAGTTTAAGATATTGTCATTTAATTTGTTGTAATGGAACATTTCTTGGGAATTTGATTTATTAATTATATCAAACACTACACTTTGAACACTATATTTAAAACATTTGTTATCTTTGTTTTTGATATTAATACATGCCTTTTTTAGTTTAATCCATTCTGGTAAATCTATATAACTACCCGCCCTAGTTGGGTCATATTTGTCATAATGGATTGTTATTGATAATATCTTTATAAATTTTAAATTAGATGCTGAACCTTCTAACTTTTCTATGTTCAATAAAATCTCTTTGATTGATTTTTCAATTGCTTCATCCAAATCGGTTTCATTATAAATGTTTGACCTTGTAGCAGGTAAATTATAAAGTATCTCTGTATGTTTTATTACTCCATCATCATCATAATAATGATAAAATAAACCTTCTGCCCTTATATTCAGTTTCATAGCTCTATTAGTTTTCAAAAAGGTTAAAAGTCTATCTTTTTGGTGGTGTATCATTGATAGTGCCTTTTCACCTTGAAAATGTTTATTTACTAGTTTTATAGAATTAGCATAACTTTTGAAAGCTGATTGTTGGTCTGTTACTTGGAATTTATTTTTGATTGCATATTTTGTCATTGCATTTTTCATTCTTTGTTTTAGGTATGTTGAGCGCAATGTTTTTGTTGCATAACTATTATACTCATTAGTTCTTGCTTCTGATTTTAATTTCTTGTTCAAAACATTTGAGATGGGTTTTTCTTTGTTGTATCTAAATTTTCTACCATCTATAATTATTGATTTTAATTCCTTGTTTCCTCTTTTTGGAATTTCCGCTTTATCATTATTCAACAGATAATCTATAACATGTTTCATAATACTATACTATATAAATTTAATGTGTTTATTTCTTTAAGTGACTTTTTAGAAAATATACTTAAAGATTTAAAACCTTAATATAATAAGAGGAAAATGAACGGTGATAAAATCAATAATTATATCAATAAAAAATGCTATGATTGTTGTCACTTCAAAAAAGAAAATATGGAATTGTATAAATTAAATTTACCTAATGAAATAGTGAATAATATTATTAATTATTCAATGGATGAAAAAGTCGAATGTGAAAATTGTAAAACTTGGAGAGATAATCAATTTTTAATCAAATGTCTTTTGGGAATAAAAAGAATAAATAATAGAAATGTAGAAGATGAGATTTTAATATTTCTAACTGTAAATAAAATACCACCTTATGATTATGTTAAACAGTTTCTTAAAATCAGTAAGAAAAAATATGAAATGATTTATGATATATTATGGATGTTGGGATATAGTCAAGAGAAAGGAGAAGATGTTAAAGAAAATATCAAATTATTTATTGAAAGTAAAAAGTTTAATATTCAAAATACATTGAGAGATATTAATATTATTTTTAAAATGATGTATGAAAGAAGAAAGATTTGTCAATTAAATTATTATCCTGTACTGAAATTATAATCATAATATAATAATAACATGTAAAATCTTATATGTTATAATTATACTGTACTTATAGTTTGTAAAGATTGAAATATTTTAATTTTTCTTGATTTGCTTGACTCTTTCAAAGTGCGTTGTTTGAACTTGGCATGCTCTTTTGATTTTTTCGTGCTTTGGCTGTTTGTATTTTATTTTGTTTGATACTCTTCTGATATTTTTTGTTGGTATGTTGCTTTGCTTTTTGTTGATGTGTGTGTTTGAGTTTGTGTTCTTTGATGGTTTTTATTTTTGCTGTTTTGTTGGTATGCTTGTTTGAATTATTTAATGTTTTATGCTTTGATTAAATATTTTGTTGGGGGTTGTTCTGGTTTTTGAGTTGCTTGGTGGTTCTTATCTTGTTTTCTGTGAATTTTGCTGATTTTGTTGTATGCTGTTTGATTTTTTGGTTTTAGTTCTGGAAGTGCCATTTTATGTATTTTTTGGGGGTGGGGGGGGGTGGGGTGGGGGAGTAAGTGGGGAGGTTGGGTTAAGCGAGTGGGTTGGGAGGGGGTGGGTTGCGGGGGTGGGGGTTGGAGGGGTGGGGGTTGGGGGGGGCAAGGTTTTGATTCCAGAAATAGGTATACATGCGCAGAAATGTACACATGACCTGTTTGTGTCAAGGGAGGACTACATATGAGAAAGAATCTGCAAACATGTTTTTTTTTGAATACCCCAGATGTGGGCCAAGGAAAGGACCCAACCATGGTTGTATTTTCTTAGGTTTTCTTACCGTATCCACTTGCAGACAAGCTCTCATTGTGTTGTAAGCCATGGATACGCGGACTCTCCCCGAACAGAACCGACTCTAAGCTTGCTGGTCCTCAAGGCTCCCTAAGGAAGAAAACCGATCCCGACTGCTCAAGGGACCGCTGCCATCTGTGGGTGCAAGGGATACAACGGAGGCGTGCTGCCCTGCCGTACGTTGGCTGGGGAAGTCATAGGGACAACGCGAGCTCCATGTTGACCCTTTTGCCTGGATTGGGGAATGGGAGTTGGTTTCTCGCGTTTTCTCATAAGCTGCGCTAGAGAGAGGAGAGCAGGAAGCCAAGAATTAGAATGTTCTTCCTATTCCCCACTCGTTGTTCCAAAAGTTGCTTTCCACTTCAACTGGGTCAAGTGAACCTCAAACAATCATGAGAAGACAGGACTTTTATGTCATGAATGGATTAGTTGTTCCAATGCGTGCTTTTCCTACGTCAACCTTGATCATGTCTTCTTTGCAATCATTAACTTGTCTTAAGTTTATGGTGTGTTCAGCATATCTTAGCCCAGGCATTGCAGCACTACTAGAAGCAGATGGAGCGGAATGATGGGTGGGGCACATCAATTGTCCCTGAGAGAGTCTCATTGAAAGGGTCTGCATCGAGCTTCCCCCCTTTCAACAAACACAAAAACAAGAGATGGTTGGCTGCTTCGCAATTTCTTGGTAAACGCCAGCTTCAGCAGTGTGTTCATTTCTCCCATCAAAATGGGTGGCTTCCCTCTTTTCCCTGGCTCCTGCCCCCAAAATTGGTTCCCTGGGCTTATTGCCCTCGAAGCAAACCCAAACATCGGTCTCTCAAAATCTCGCTGGGCTTATGTCCCACAAAAAATCGGGGCTTCTGGGCGTATTCCCCACCCAACAAGTTTCCTGGAGACCTTCCTGTGGGTGGCTTTCTAGTTTCCCACGGCTCCAGCCCCAAAATGGTGGCTTGTTTTCTGGGCTTATGTTCCACCAACAAAAATTTGGGGTGTCCTTCCCACCGATCAAGGTCTGGGCTTATTTCCCGCCCCCCAAAAAAATGCGGTTTCCTGCACACCTTCCCCCCCCCCCCACCACCCCCCACCACCACACGTCGTAGGCCCGGGTCCTGGTGGGCGCCCATGGCGCTGGTCTCGCGTGGATGGTGGCCATGGAGCCAGGCGATTCAAACGAAACCTCCCACCCGAGCGCACTCCCAGCTCGCTCCGGGGCGGACTTTCGTCATTTTTTTGTTTTTTTGGTTGGTTTGTTTCCTGGACTTTTTTTTACTTCATCCCTGAGTAGCTCACTCCCTGAGTAACGATCCCGAATACGACTCTCCAACAGCCGACTGTCTGGCAAGTACGGGACCGGCTACGTTCACGGAGGATCGCAAACAGAAGTACATTGGAAAGAGATTGCCACCACGATCCATCATCAAGGGATTTGTATTTTTTGTTGGTTTCCTGGGCTTTTTTACTTGTTGGGTTTTCTGGATGGACTTCAGTCACTGTTGGTTTTGGGCTGTCATTTTTTAGTAGCAAAGACAGAGCTTGATGGCCTTTTTCGTCCTGTCCACGCAGGAAGTGAGGTAAAAGGGTGCAGGGCGCGGAGGTGTCCGATGTTTCTATTCAACTGCCGCCTCTCCCTGGTGCCTCAAAGGAAAACTTCCATTTGGTTAAGAATATTTTATATTTTTCCCTGTTGGTTTTAAAGGGAATCTATCACTGGTGGATTTGTTTGTTACTTTTCTAGAGGACTTAAGCAAATGGATGAAAAGCTTGACTCCAGGAACCTGAACTCCAGATCCCAGTTACCAGTTTTGTTGGGATGGCCTTTGCCATGTTCCTTTTGAGATGAAATCGCGTACGGGCGACATAGGCTGACCCCTCGAGTTTCTTAAGGAGCTCTGTTTGTGGCGGGGGACCTTCCAGCCCACCCCCCTCAGAGGGACCTGTGGCAATCCCCTAGCTCAGTGGGTCACACCCTTTGCGGTTTGCACACAACGAGCATGTCCAGTTCGGGAGCAACGGCAATTTGGCGAGATCGTGTCCTTGATGTCATTGTGCTGTTGAACTTCCCTCTCATTAAACTCTAAGTTCCCCCAGTTCTCTTCAGGGATCCAGTCAAGAATTGACAAGACTCAGGGAACTTGGCTTTGGGACAAGCAAATGAGGGACCCGTTCAGGAGTTGGATTCCCTCGGGTTTCCGAATCAAATTGTCCATGAGGGGGGTTGCCCTCTCGATTTCCGTGCGTTCATTACTCATCTATCCTTTTGGTCATGGCCATTGCCTCACGGTTTGCACTCAAGACTCCAAACAATACTGTGGATGGACAGAATCCTGCACCACCCAAGAAACCATGGGAAACATTATTTGTTGGTATTTACGGGGAATCATCAAAGCCAGGGTTTCTTAGGTGGTGCAGGATTTTGTCCATCCACAGTATTTCCTGCGTGCTCAGGCCCCCTTTTGACCATCACGAAATCAGCCATCCTACTCCTGACATGTAAGTGGCATTGCTCCAGCGCGGGTTCGAACCCGCCTGGGTGACACCCCCAGTGGAATGCAAAAACCTGGTCCTGGACATCAACAGGTGCGCAGCACCTTGCAAATTGGAACGTAAGCCGAAGGTTTGCAAGTCAGGCGATCGGTGCGATAGAGAATGAGAAATGGAATGAACCGTTTTGGGATCTCCCGAATAAAACCACCAGTTGGATGGTTTATAGGGGTCATTCCAACTCATTCTCTGCTGATCACCAGCAAGATGGGGATGAAACCAGAAGTCATTCCCATTGCAACGCAAGACACTTTTGAACCAAAGCAAAGACAGCAGAAAGGCTTTCTTGGCCACTTCCAAATTGGAGACATACTCTGGGTGGACGAAATCCTGAACCACCTAAAAGACCCTGGAACGATGATTCCCCTGTAATACCAACAATCATTTTTTCCCATGGCTTCAAAGTGGTGCGAAGGATTTTTCATCCATCCACCGTACAGCTATTCGTTTTGCCACCCTGCTTCGGGATTTGCTTGCTTTTCCTTGGTGGCTCCCAGCCATCCACTTAGCTTTTTCGCCTTTTAGTGTTTAGTGGTAGTTTCCATTTAAAAGTCATTCACTTTTAGCAGGGGATCTGAGGACAGCCCAGTTTCGCTTTTTTGCCGCGCCAGGCTCCGCGGTGGTGGAGCTCATGCCGTCGGGTTTGCCCGGCTACGTGGTCTGCGTGGAGAGCTGGGACCAGCCGCGGAATCTGCGGCACAGCATCTACGGCGGCTTGGCCCACCTTGCGGGGCAGCACCACGCCTGCGTGCGCGGCAACGCGACGGAAGCCGCAGGCAGGGGGGGGGGGAGGGGCTGGGGCAGGGGGCGCCCGCCCGTTGGAGAAATAAGGAACACGGGGGGGGGGGGGGTTGGGTTGTTGCATGCTATGGGCTGGAAATGGTAGAGATGAATGATTCGATGTCGGATGAACTCCTGTGGAGCGTTTTATTTGTTATGGCACGGGGAAACGACAAAACCTGAGTGGAAGACTAAGGAGAGATCGATTTCAGTTACGAGATCGAGAACTTCCGGGAGAAGACCATCGTGCTGCCTGTGGGCAAGGTGCTGCGTCGAATCGTAGAGGCGGTGGCTTTCGTGCAGAAAAGGCCGAATGCTAGAGACAGAGGCAGCTCGCGCCAGCGAATGGACAGAGTTGGCAGGCATTTCAGGGGCCCCTCTCAGATTTCCCGGCAAACAGTGTCAGATGCCTGCTGGGGAGCATCTCAAATAGCACTCAAGAAGAGACTGCTAGTTGAGTCACAATCACGCCCCGGCTCCAAAAGGGTCTACCCACAATGACAATCAAGAGGGTGGCCGCAGCAATGCTTGCGACTGCTGGTTTCCAGCCGTGATTTTTCCCCCTACATCCAACAGGTTTGAAATGTACCGCGGGGTGTGACCTGCGGTCTGTAAAGGACTTCACCAGGCCTTGAGCCTTTTGTGGCCCTACGCCATTTGAGAGGATGATGCAAAGGTGACGTTCGGCCAGTTTGTTGTTTCCTCCCACAAAAATCCAAAAACACTGTCTTCAGATTTGTTTGGCTAATTGCTGTAGAGACCCCGCCAGGCGGCATTGGTTACAATTGTCAGGAGGCAACATGCTCACCAAGCCCGACATAAGAACCAATATTGGCCAAATGAGTTTTGTATTGCTGTGCCTTGTTGCGAGACTGGCAATCCGAGTCCCGATTTAGCCCACAGATGCTTCTTAGCTCACTAGCATTTTGGGCTTTGCAACGCTGCACCTCTCACAGTTTGGCACAGTTAGGCGTCCACTTCTTGCGGCATTTGCTTAAACATATGTATTTAACTCTGTGTGAGGGTTACGAAAGTCAGTGGGGGGTTGCTTTCTTTCAAGCTTGGGTGTTGGATAGCGAGGCCGTTTGCCGGTCTGCACTAGGCATCCGTGACCTTCGGTCGCGGTACTCGCTCTCCATCTGGGCTCGGGCGCTTGGCGAGCGCGAGCCGGGGGGTTGTCCAGTGTGATGGGTCAAACGCGGGCGTCTTCCGGAAAGGGTTTTTGCTGTTATCCCTTGGTGCCAGGCGATGTTGTTGAGCTACCAATTTTGAGCAATATATTTGAGGCCAGCAAGAGGCTGCAATTCCACTCAGCTGCAAGATTTCATGGAGCAGGCTCCCGGCTTCATTGAAGCTTGAGAAACAGGTGCGCGCTAGAAGCAGCCCAAGAAAGACAAGCTTAGCAGTCAGCAGCCGTGTTGAAGAGGTAGCTTGGGAGAAGTTCTTTCATACTGTGGATGGACCAAATCCTGCACCACCTAAGAAACCCTGGAATGATTCCCTGACAAATGCCAACAAACAATTCGGCAGAGAGAGGGAGAGAGATGGTTTCCGATGTCGTCCAGAGATGCTACCGGCTCAGGTTCCCGAGGGCATGGCTGTTGCGGCGGCCGGGGCACAGCTTAAGGCAGGGCACGGCTTCCCTGCCCAATGTCACTATGAATTTCAATAGGGAGCCACCTGAAAAGTGATTGGTGGACATGAATCCCCACCTACATGATGTCGACCAAAGGGGGCCTAGTTAAAATTCAGACCCATTTATAGATCTCCAGACAGTGCTCTTCTATGCGCCCCTCTGCGTTGTTTGGGCATCATAGGAACCTTTTCCTGCTGGTGCTAGCTGTTAAGGGCTGGGATACGTACTCCATTTCTTGTCAGTCACCTCTTTGCCACCCCGCGGTATGTGTGAAGAGTTGTTCCAGGATGTTTGATCGCTGGCCTGTGGCTCAGGCACCGTTTTGAGGTACCCGGGCCCGGGGAAGCCAAATGAAGCCGAGGAGCGTGGAGGAGTGGTTTCAGCTTGTACCGGACCTGCTGTCGCGGAAGGCCTGGACGCTGGCGTGCGCGAGGAACCAAGCACAGCTCTTCCACAAGGAGTCCAGGGGTCATTATTTTGACGGTTTCCGGGGGTGATCAAAGACAGAAAATGGGGCTGCTTCCCTTTAACCCACCACTTAGGGGGTGACTTTGATCATGGTCAAATCATGGAGCCAGGAGTGCCCCTGGGGTGGGCGACTGGGGAAGATCGAGCTGGAGGGCATCGACTTAGAGGGTGCTGTGGTCTTGCGGCCTGAGGTGTGGCAGTCCTACCTCCAGCTGCACCCGGAGCAGGGCATGCGCTCGGAGCTGCAAGAACTGATTGGTCCAGGGGAAGCCATCCTTCGCATCTCGGTGGACTGGATGCCCTGCCGGCAGACCAACGCGCTCTTTGGGAAGTTCGAGGACTGCCTGGACCTCAGCTGCTTTCGTGGCGCGCCCATGCGATGCAACAGCTCCAGAGACTTCCCGCAGCCGGGGGACAGCGGCTTGACGGTCCAGGAGGCCACCGGGCCTGGCGTCCAGCGCCTGGCGTGGCTGCGCCCCGAAGCTCACAGAGGCAAGTGTCGCATGGTTCTGGGCTGGTGGATGCCGGAGGATGAATTCGGCCTTTGGGCCACCTTCAGCTTCCTTCAGTTCCTGGACTTGGTGAAGCTCACTTTCCCACAGCCGACCTTTTCACCTTTTGGTTGTCCCACTTTGGCCTCTCTTTTTCCCCAACAGCTGAAAGCTTTGGGGTCTCAGCCCAGATAGGCTCCGGGGTGGTCCGGGGCGGCCCTGACGTGAGGGTTCTACCAGGGTTCCACCAGGGTTCCACCAAGGTTCCACCATCTGCGAGGGCTGCGGGGTGGTCCGGGGTGGTTTGAGGTAAGGTTCCACGAGGGCACCAGGGTTCCACCAGGGTTCCAGCAGGGTTCCACCAGCGAGGGCTGCGGGGTGGTCTGGTGGTTTGAGGTAAGGTTCCAGGAGGGTTCCACCAATTTCTTCGAGGGCTGCGGGGTGGTCTGGGAGGAAGGTTCCACAGGGTCCGGGGTGGTGGTTTGAGGTGAGGTTCTGCGAGGGCTGCGGGGGTGGTCCGGGGTGGCTTGAGGAAGGTTCCACGAGGGTTCCACCAGGTTCCACGAATTTCCTCGAGGGCTGCGGGATGGTCCGGGGTGGTTTGCGGTAAGGTTGCATGACAGTTTCAGGGTTCCACGAGGTTCTGCGAGGGCTGTGGGATGGTCCGGGGCGGCCCTGATGTTTCACAGGGTTCCACAGAGTTCCGTAAAGATTCCACAAGGGTTCCACAAGGCTCCACAAGAATTCCAGAAATGTTCTGCAAGGTTGCGTGGTTTGTCCTGGGGGGAGGGAAGCAGCGTGCCGTGCGCCCGCCGTCTGAAAAGCCATCGGAGCAGTAAATTGAGGGCTCAGAAGATCGCTTCGCTCATGGGCGGATCACTGAGCAAAACCGAAATCAATGGTTTTCAGGAGATTTTGACTGTTTTGTTACTTGCTTACTTGCTTACGCAAAGCGGCCCGAAATGTTGGCTTTGTGGCCAGTCAGATCACGTTGCTGCCGGACTCACGGGGCAGCAGAGTAAATGCCCTTGGCATTGCAGAGTATTTTTCTGGTGCTCTTTCTTTGTTATTCCCCAAGCTGAAAGCTTTGGGGTCTCAGCCAAGAGGCTCTGGGGTGGTCCGGGGCGGCCCTGAGGTGAGGTTCCACGAGGGTTCTACCAGGGTTCCACCAGGGTTCCACCCGGGTGCCACCCGGGTTCCACCAGAAGTCCACCAGGGTTCCACCAGGGTTCCGAGGGTTCCACGATGTTCTCGAGGGCTGCGGGGTGGTGCAAGCACTAAAAAGAGCACCGAAAAGAGCACCGCATGCTGTTGGGGATATCACCTGAGTTTATTTTTAGTAAAGACCACAAAAGGTGAACCGTGTATTTCCATGTCCTCCTTGGGCAAGTGAGGAAGAAGTCCTACCTCCGCTTTTTCCAACTCCTCACTGCCAAGCAGGCCATAACGCTGGAAAGGGAGTTCTACCTGTGCCTCACCATGAAGCACTTCCAGGGTGGCAACCCCTTGGTGCCGGCAGCGCGGTGTGGATCCGATTCCTGCGTGGATGTTTTGAGGCATTGGGAACACTTTGGTGGAGCGTTTGTCTTGGCAGACTACCTCAAGGTGTTTCTGGCGCGCCTGGGCGAGGAGCTTTGCATCTTCGATTCCATGGACGGGCGCCAGCTCGCACCCCACCAGTGCCTAGTTCGTAGGGGCCAGTGGCAGCAGGTCAGAGGACGATTCTGGGCGGCGTTTCGGGCACAAGGAGCCGCGTACCGCCGCTGCAACGGAGGACGCAATGCCCCTGCCATTTGTGAAGATGACCAGCCAGAGCTCCTCAGCTTACGAAGGCCGCAGGGACCTGCGCAAACAGTCCAGGCTCCTTCCCCAGAATTAGCTCCCTTTTTTGATTTTGCTTTTTTGGGGTCCCTTTGTTTTCAACTAACCAGGCAAAACAATATATATGTTTTTGCTGGGGTCCTAGTTCCAGCCAAGGCGATGCTCATCATTCGCAAGACCTTCTGGCATGCCCAGGCGCCTTCCAGATCTTTGAGACGGCGCCACACCGTGTCCTTGCCCCTGCGCGCACCTCGGGAAACCGATCCCGTGGAACTGACAGTGGCTTTTCAAAAATTCATCCGTTCGCAACTGAACACTGCGCAAACTGAACAATGCTAATTAGGCATAGCTGCACCGGCCAGCTGCTTTTGGCGCAAACTGATCCCGAAGTTTTTCTTGATGGCAGGCACGTCCGGCACGTCCGGAGACTTTCGAAATGCGCCGCTGCTGCATGATGATGTCTCACGAGATCGTGTCATTACTAGGCATAGCTGCAGCGGCTTTGTACAGTGCGCTACAGACCGCGTTGTTCAGTTTGAATTCGCCGAGGATCGAGCGGCTTGATTTCAATTCTGCATCAGAATTGGGTGACGGCAAGACTGAGGACCACACAAAGTGTCACTCTGCAAATCTGTCAAGTTTTCAAGGAATCAGTCACATGTACAGAGGTTTGAATCTCCTTGGTGATGAGTCACTGCGTCTGAGGGATGATGCCAGACGATGCAGCAACTCTGCTTGGTGTACGGGACAGTTTCCATGCCATGTATGCTCAGCTGCCAGAAACAAGTGCCCCTCAAGAATGCGACAAGTGCATTGGGGCACTTCTCAGTGACGTAGCAAAAGACTTCCAATCCCGGCGCGGGGGATACGAGTGTTTCCGTTTTGGCTCAGGAGCGTAGGGGCTTCCTCAAAAGAGGGTGGGAATGCGTGGGAGATGATAACAGAAGTTAGCAAAGATGCCAAAAACACGAAGTCGTGATCTATTGAACCCTACGCTTCCTTGAAGGCTGTGGTTTGGGCGTCGCAGGATCCAGGAGGCAACCTTGACGGCTACCGTCACTTTGCCTTTCGCATCGATCAGTGCTGCACTTAGCGAGGCATAGCCTTTGCACTCCTGGGAACATGATCGTGGTTTCACACATCGGTTTCCCAAGATGTTCTCTCTTTGCTGGGGTGTTCTGACCATCACCCTGTGGCGCCCATGTTCAGTGAATAAGTTTCTTTCAAGAAGAGTTTCTTCAGAGGGAGCCTGGGAAGCAGGACGATCGCGAGGTTCGACCAGGATATCAGTCTAGTCGTGAATTGGGGAGGGACATGGGAGACACTGGTTTTTCCACCAAACACTAGGAGAGCCACGAACTTATCCTACCACGAATTCTTACCGCTTTGATGGGAAAGCGACCGGGTTTCTTCAGACGAGACCTTCACCAGACCACCAGACACCTCACCGTTTGACGTCTCGACTCCGCGCGGAGTGGGCAACACGTCTGGCTGAGGCCAGTGCTGTCCCACTCTGTGGCCTTTGTCATGGGCGACCTCCAGCAGCACCCAGGTACCAGAGACGAGAGGGACCTTTGTAACTTCCGTTTGCTTAAGAATATGTTAAAAAAAAAAAAAAAAAAAAACCTTGTTGGTTTTAAAGGGAATCTATTGCTACTGGAAATATTTTTAGTTTTTCCAGGGAGCTTAAGCAAAGGGAAGGTAAGATACTATTGGGTTGGATCTTTAGACTTTAACTTTTTGGATTCCCCTCATATTTCAGTTTAAACAGCAAAAAGCTAAACTATTTGCTCGGGGATCTACAGCACCCAAGTTAAGATAAAGGATAAGGGGCCAAAAGAAGTCAGGATGGGTGAGGGGGGGGTGGGCTACCATAAATCCATATTCAGCAAGACCACGGGAAAACAATGTTAGTGATTGTTGAGCCCCGTTTGCACAGATTGCAGCCACTCAAACGGCGGCGTTTTCAGCAACAACCTATGAATATGTGTGTTTTGGAGGCTGGCCTATTTGGGGTTGTTTTGAGAGGACACGAAAGGAGAATTGAGAATGTTGATGGATTTGGGGTTGTCTACTAGGAGACGGCCTCGCATTCTTTGCCCTGTACTTTTTGGAGGGGAAGAAGTCACTAGTTCAAACTATGTTTTCTCAGGGCGGGGTGAAGTTGGATGAACCGAGGGGTAGTGCATCAATGCGAAAACAAAAAGAAGTTTGCGGTTGCAGTACGTTTAAACCAATGGGTGGTGGAAAGAATTCATCTCTCAACATCCCTGGCTGAAACCTGGAGTCATACATGTCATTCGCACAGAAACACACACACACACAGTCGCATTGGAGCCACCCCTTGCTCTTGAGGTGGCTTGGCAACGCTGCTGGGACAGGGCGAGTCGCTACAGCCTCAGCAAATTCAGAATACAAGCCGGGCGCCGAGAAGTCCCTGCTTTTTGTTCGCATGAACGAGTTCATAGTGTGACTGGCAGCAATGAACCGCCAAGTGACCATGGCAAGCGGTGGCACTCTTGAAGAGATCTACCCCCCCCCGGCTCTGAACAATCCAGAGTGCAGTTGTTTTTTCTTCGGGAACCCCTTTGGTTGGCTGGCCTTAAAGTTTGAAACGCCAAGTAAGCCAATGTCCTGATTTTGACAACCCTTGCGAAGCCACGTGCCCCAGTGCCTTCGGCAGCCTCGCCGCCGCCAAGAAGGCGCCTTGATTGTGTCTCAAGGTAGGGCTTCCAGGCTGTCCAGGGAGGTGCTTCCGTTTTTTTTTTTTTTTGTGGGGGGGGGGAGTGCTACCAAGAAAAAAGTGTACCCTTAGGTGCCAGATGAACCCCCAAACAGCTGGCGTCACTTTGCTTCACGATGGCAACGATCAGCAAAGGGACCCTGAAACCGACAGGCAGGCAGGCAGACGGACAGGCAATGACAGAGAGAGAGAGAGAGGGAGACAGAGGGGAGAGAGAGCGAGACAGACACAGACACACAGACACACAGACGCACAGACACACAGACGCACAGACACACAGACACACAGACAGACAGACACACAGCCACTCACACAGACAGACAGATAGACAGACACAGACAGACAGACAGACAGACAGACAGACAGACAGACAGACAGACAGACAGACAGACAGACACAGACAGACAGACAGACACAGACAGACACAGACGCAGACACACACAGACAGACAGACAGACAGAGACAGACAGACACAGACAGACACAGACGCAGACACACACAGACAGACAGACAGAGACAGACAGACACAGACAGACACAGACGCAGACACACACAGACAGACAGACACAGACAGACACAGACAGACAGACGGACAGACACAGAGAGGGAGAGAGAGACACACACACACACACAAACAGAGACTGAGAGAGAGACAGAGACAGAGGCACAGGCAGAGACAGAGACAGAGACAGAGACAGCCAGAGACAGAGAAAGAGGCAGAAACAGACAGAGACAGAGACAGACAGAGACAGAGACAGAGACAGAGACACACACACACACACATGCACACCGACACCTGGACACGCTTCAGCATTTCTGTTTAGAACATCACACCTCATGAATAGATAGTGTTGGGCCAGTTAGCAGAAGGGTAAGTTTCCTTCTCATGGTTGGCTGATGCCCAAAGGGCAAGCAGGGGAACAGGCACGTGGTCAATGATGAGCAGGGTTGCTCGGAGTAGGTTGCTTGGCTCAGTCAGCAGCATCATGTCTTCACTGTTCTTGGAGCCAGCGATTTTGTGTGTTTATGAGTTTATGTTTGGGTGTTCTGTTCATTTTTAGGCTAGGGGGCTGCAAAAAGCGGCCAGTTTTTCTTGCAAGCCCATACCTCACTTCCTGAGTTCCCGGACTTTGGTCCTTTTGTGGGTTTGGTTGCCATCTTAGTGGCCACCGCAAAAGGTTTGGGCCATCCACTCGATCGGAAGCTTCCATTTGGTTAAGATTTTTCCCCTGTTGGTCTTAAAGGGAATCTATCACTACTGGACAATTGTTTGCTTTTTCCAGGGGACTTGAGCAAATGGAGGGAAGTGAGACAACGTTTGGGTGGTGATGGCACACGGTATTTTTGGGGAAGCTTGGCGAGGAGCTGGCCTGGGCCTGAGCTTGCGAGCTCGCGAGATCTTGCGATCGGCGGCTCACGCGGGAAACTCCGGATGTTTTACCTGAGCGTTCCTCGAAAAACTCCCTCCCTGAGTTCCTGGACGTGGTTTCTTCTTTCTACCTTTGGGGAGCACAATCCGAGTGGCAGGCAAGATGTTTGGACTGAGCTAGTTATGCTAAAAGAGGGGGCAGAATTGGTGGAACCGACCAGAAAACCCTCAACCTGGTCACAGTTGCCTAGGAGGCGGTCCTTTGGCCGGTGCAAAGTGGGCTGCACGCACTGCTCCCGGCGCGGAGTCCCTGCGCAGGATCCGTTGGCTGCCCAGGGCACGGCTGTTTTGGCTGAATGATCTCGTTGGCTGAATGTTTCTACAGGAAATCAAACGAAACTCGTGTCGACCATATTTTTCTCGACCCCACCTTATTAGTGAGGGGGTGCTCTTTCCCCTCCAAAATCCAACGTCCGAAGTCACCACATCCAACTTTTGCGGAGATGATTGGATGGCTCATGCATGTACCATAGATGCATGTACTCTTGGGGGTCAAGCACCGCGATAAATAATATGGTTGATCCGATTTGGATGACAAACCTTAGGTAAAGAATGGTGGTTCCAGGAACGAACCGATGTGTTAAAGATGCTTTGAACCGCCGGGACTACAGGAGAATAGCCTAGAAGGGGTGTTTGAATCAAATACGCGCCCACCCTGATTAGATCCAAGGGCTTTTAACCAAACCCCAAGGTATCCTCAAAGTGGGGTCTTCAATGACTCAGGCCGAGGGCCCCAATGCGCTGCAGGCTGACGTGCTGTGTAGGGGTCGCTTTGCGAGCTTGAAGCAGCAGTGTTCAAGGTCCTCTTTCATACCACCCGGAACCCAGAACGGGGGTCTTTGAAAAGAGAGCGTTCATAACGTCCAAGTAAATCTGCAGGAGTGTATCCTTGTTTCTTCCTAATGCGGTTTAAGGATTCTGGTTGATGGAGTCTTCAGTGGTCTCCTGGAAGGGAAATCGGAATTAGGGACCACCCACTTCGGATTCTACTGGATCCCCCACCCTCCTGCCCGTTGAGGTATGGCAAGGGAATTGTCAGCACAGCATGCGGCCACCTAGATTGGCATCCTTGCCGCTTGCATCTGCCAGCAGTATTGCTCTCATGTTGCTGCAATCCCCCTTGGACCGCAATGCCCAGGCACAATCATGACAGACATCTTTGGATTAGGGCCCACACATTTGCAGCTAGGCCTCCATCTCTCGCCCTCACGTGCATGTACCCTCCCACAAACTAACATGAACGTTAAAAGGAACATGGTCTTTCAGGACCCCCTGTCAGGTTCCAGCTGAACTGGTGGGCGGGTACATGTGATTCACTTATTTATGTTCATGCATGGGTAGCTTCTGGCCAGGTCGTGTTGCTTCCGGATCAGTGCTGCCCCTACGGAGGCTCCACGCGGACTCGCATGAATCCGGGATGGCCGACTTTGACACAGCTGGTGCCCTGCCATGCATGGCCCTTTAAAATTGCAAGCAACAAAGGCTGGCAGTGAATACGAGGTGGGGAGCAGAAACATGCAAAGACTTCGGACAGGTTTCTGCGAACTTGGATGCTTCCAGCAAGGCCTTCACCAACCGAGAAAAGCCCCGGTCTATTTTCAGCCCGAAGTGCCGGGCGGTCTCGCTTCCGCGTTGGCTGAAGTGTTGTGCTATGCTTTGTAGATTTGTAGAGCTTGGCCTGGGCAACGGCCTCTCTCACCAAGGGGCCCGGCATGGCCTTGCAGTGGAGGTTCCTTCGCATCTGCCAGACAGCGGTTGAAAGCCGTTCCGTCGAGTTTCCTTGAAAGAGTGGTACCTGGGCCAAAACTTTGTGGGGCATACGACTGCAGACCTGGTGTGAGCGCAGGTGCCATTTTTGATTAGGACAGACATGTCGTGTGCAAGCCGCAACGCAGGTCCAATCTGGGCGCATGAATGCACATAATGTTGACATGAACTGCTTGCCAATTGCCCAGCGATGTTCCTCAGGCCACGCAGGGGTCAGGGGTCCCACCAGTCATAGCAATCAATGTGTGGGCCCAATTTGGGCCTCCCCAGCACGACCGCTCAAAAATCCCACATGTGCGGCTCCAAGCACGAAGTAGCAGCGCAATTGTTTTTTACCGTTACGCATTTGTCTTGTTTCGAGATTTACCAGAAAAGCTTGGCAAGACCTGCATTTTTCACCTGAGGCCATGAAAACAACCAAGGATTTCATGAAGAGTGGCATCATTCTTGGCATGCTTACCACTTTCAGGTATCCCCTAATTGGTGGTTTGGATTCAGCACTCCGAGCCTTCGCCTTCAATTCGCAGGTCGAGGCCTGCCAGGGCGGCTTGGCCTGCAACAATCCGAGGCTTCCATCTTACGCGAAATTGTCCTGGCACGCCGGAGATGAAGTGCCGGGGTAAGAGTTACTCTTGGCGCATGCGTGCGATGAATACTCAAAAAAAATGCTCCTGGTTACTGTTGGGCTCCAATTGACCAAGGGTGTGCGTTGTGAAATGAACTAGCGGTTGCCGGGCGATGCCGTCATCTTGGGAATTGATGGTGAGGTACTTGCCATGCCCGAGCATTCCAAGGCAGCCAAACAAGTGACGTGTTGCTGTCTCTTGGCTCCCTGGTGGCCATGTTTAGGGAAACGCATGGATGGCAACGTTGTTCTCACGCGCAAATCCTGAGGATGTTTGAGGCCCTCATGGCTCGTCTTAGTTGCCTCCCTGATAAGCAGCTTGCCACTTGGCCCCCTGATGATCGTTTGTGTTTGAATTTCTGGTGGCATTGGGGCCTTTGAGGCCCGGCATCATGCGGCCTGTCTCCGAAGAACCCCCCCCCCCCCCGTGGTCCATGTTCCTTCGCTGTCAGTAAGCAATCTCAAGGACATTCTCAACACAAACGCGTCTGGTGTTTCCTTGTTTGGGAGGGTTGTTTTTCTGTGCGGGCGCCGGTACCGCCGTTGGATTCTCGGACCTTGGGATACCAACAGCCAACAGCTTTGGCACTCCACCCGCATCCTGCTCCGCTAGCGGTGGTCGAGGGTGGCTGGATGACGCGGACTTTCAAGCACCGCGCCCTCTGAAACGATTCTTTCAAATATGCATCCTTGGGGTGAGGCCCTCCAAACTAGCGGCCATTGAACCTTTAGGGATAATAGACCCTCATGAAGCACTGCCATTGACATGGATATTCTATTGCTAGTCTTAAGCACAATCATGCTCAGGCTGGTGCTGCTGCCTTGTTTTGCTCTTCCAGGTGATGAGGCGGGCCTTGCGACGGCTTCACGCAAGAAGCCATACCCTCTTTCCAGCCGTGGGAGCTTCTCCAAAAGGAAAGTGCCGTGTTGTCCAGAAACATGGAACCCACCAGAGGGTCCCTTTTACAGGTCCGGAAAATGGTCTTCCAGGACCCCCCAATCAGGTTCCATTTTAGTGGATGGGAGGGTTCAAGCTGAATGCTGCTGTGGCTCTACCCATGCTGCACACAGTCACAGGTGCGTATTTGACGCTGTCTTGCTCATCAGGTTGACACTGGCTCTTGCAATTGCGGAAGGGCGCGGAACAAAGAGCTCAGCCCATGCATCGCTTCACCGTCCTTTGAGCTCAACTCAGTGCCGCTAGTTCCATCACGATTATCAGCCCACCCATTTGCCCACGGCTTCACTTTGTTAACCATATAACAGTGTTTGTGTATCAAATCGTGTGATCAAATCAGCACGATTCCATACCACGAGCTGATTTCAACAAATGGCAGATAATTGCACTGGATTCGTCTTGCGTTACATTTCCTACGGCAAGTAGAAAATATGTCGACTAAGTGTAGCAAATGCCCCCAGAAGCCGCCTATGTCTTGAGGCTGGAACAACCCATTCAACTCAACGCAGCTTGCACACATACAAGATACAGCATTCTAAGATATAGCATGGTTAAATGGTTTTACATCTTTTTGTGTGTGTGGAATGGATCTCGGCGTTACATACATTGTTAAGACTTAAACGCCGCAGCCTTTACCTTCAGACCGTATTCTGTTTGGCTTGAGCTCGTGGCTTCCCTCAATAGAGAGCCCTTCGAGCTCCAACTTGGAACCGCAAGTGCACCCATTCAGGCGGCCTATGAAGCAAGAAGGGCGCAATAAAGTGAAAGAACTGCGGCGTGATCAGCCGTCAGCCCTTGTTAGAAAAAGTGCCTCGCGCGCAGTCAATGCTGCACATCATCGCCTTGCCGGCTGTGCAGGCCATACCAGCCATACCGTGTTTGCGCAGTTTGTGTTGGGGAAAGAAACCACGAACCACAATCCACATTTGGGCAGATGAAGTTTAGGGGTTCATAGCCAAGCCAAAGCAGGCGTGGCCGTTCTTTGTTTCTTTGCATGCTATAGGGTAGGATCCCCTAACAAGTAACTAATTGACGCCGGGTTTTCATCGTGCAGAAACCCTAAACCCTAAATCTCCCTACGACTGGGGATGTTGCTTAACTGACAGTCCAGACCATCGGATGCGAAGAAAAAGCCTTTGGAGCCCTGGGCTTTCGCTTACATCGAAACACGGGGGTGGCTCAAAAGGGGCCCAAAGTGGAACCATGGTAAATGGCAGCTTTAGGGTTCCTGGCCCCCATGAAAAAAAATGGTTGACCCAATTTGGATGATGAAATTCTTAATGGTTTGAACTGGTAGGCTCAAACACTTGTGGTCCCTGCCTTTGACATTTTGCCACACACACACAAAAAAAATGACCACGTCCCGCGGAAAAAGACCATGCCGTCACTCAGTGCTCAATCTTTGCATCGGCGCCACTCGAGCAGAATTGCTCATGTTCCAAAGAGCAGTGTTGTTGGATGTGTCCTCACTTGGTGGAAAAGAGGATCTTTTCAGCGGCGCGTTGCGCGTACAGGTGCACACGCATGCATCTACACACACACACACACACGCCCACCCGCATGCAAGCACACAGGCAGGCAGGCAGGCAGGCAGGCAGGGAGGGAGGCAGGCAGGCAGGCAGGCAGGCAGGCAGGCAGGCAGGCCGGCAGGCCGGCAGGCAGGCAGGCAGGGCCCCCACGCGCGAACTCGCGCACGTGCAAAGCAGTGCCGGCTAGCCGCCCACTTCGGAGCTGGGTCGGGGACATTTGTTAGGCCCACGAAAACAGCCTGGGCACACTGGGCAGTGACGCCAGGGAAAATCCCGAAACAACCCGCCCGCTTTTGTGGTATATCATGTATATCTTTTGCTTGGGATTTGGTGAGATCCTGCAACAAAGTTTCCGCGTTCGGAGTTTTTTGCGCCTCACCAACCAGTGACTTAGCCAGGCATGGGCGGGACTTTGCCAAAGCCTGGGGCTCAGCTCCAGGCCGGCGTTTACGAAGCTCCGACGCGCATCCGGCCGGCGGGCTGAACAATATGCAGCATTGCCACCCACAGACAGGTCAGCAGGGAAACCGCGATATGGTATATGGTCCTGCGGTCCTATGGGTGGGTTCGGGTTGGTTTGATGACTGGTTTAATGGTTGGTTTATGTTGGTTAAGTTTCAGGGTTGAAATGGCTGGGGTTGGTTTCGGGTTGGTGGCTTGGCTGGTTGTAGGGTTGGATTCGAATGGTTTGAAGGCAGATGAGGTGAAACAAGGCGAAACCGGTCCTCTTACAGCCATCATGGGCATGGCTCTCCCAACAACCATGCAATGCAAGAACCTTAAAGGGGGATGCATTTTTCCCGCATGGGCAAACAAATCAACTTCTCCTCAGCCCCGGGCGAATCTGGGGCTCACGGCTCCAGCGCACCCCGGCCTCCAACGATCCAATCGCCCGATCGAATGTGAGGCGGGGAAGATGATTGGATCCCGCGGGGCTTGGAGCTGTTCCTGCCCGGGTGCATGGGGAAACGGGGGGAGAGACGTGTGCCGATTTGCTGGTTTCCTTCGTGCCAATGGCAACTCCCGTTGGTGCAAAGATAAAAAGAAAGACAGATAGCAGAAGCAACCTGCGATCCTAAGTCAAGCTAAGTTGCACACCCCAATGGCCCCAGCAATGTGCAAGCAGCCAGGGCTCTTTTTCGGAAATTGGGCGGCAGCAAGCAGGGTAGATCCGACCGCGAAGTGCTGGCTTTTGCCACTGCAGTTGTTCGCATGGATGGCTTACCTGGGCATTCGGCGTGGGCAAGCGTGATCTTGCGGCCCAATGAGCGCAGCCATGACCCATTTATTTGAAATATTGTCGCTGAGATATGAAATGCTGAAGACCTCTCTTGAGTCAGACGCAAATGACCCACCGGGAATTCGTCATGTTTGAATGTCTTGAGCATTTCATGATGGTCTGGCCCTTTCGAAGTTGTGCATGGTCTCGTTGCTGCAGACTGCGGCTTGCCCAACCGCAGTTGGAGCAAGGCTAGCAAAAACAAGGCTACACAGCTTGCCATCCTTGTACTAGGCCAACCTTTCTCTAGTCCAGACATTGTCGAAGGCTTGTTCCAATGCGGCTTTGCATCAGCTGCTTGGAAACTCCACAGATTTGGTTGATTTTGTATTTTGAGCTTGATGGATTAGGTGTCAAAGCGCAGGCACAATTTCTCAGCACCCCGTCTCCCTTTGGTGTCCAAGTACGACATAATAAAAGCCTCTCCAGGGCAAAGCGGCTTGACAGACATGCGTCCATCGCCGAGGCTTCTTCGTGTCTTGCGGCAGGCCCTGAACCCTGTGCGGCGTGCACGTAATGCTAATGGACTTAAGTACTCCAACAATCATGGAGTGGAGGTTTGAAGCTTGGCGGCTTTTCAAGAGGATGGTCGTCTTCCAAAACCTTTCTGTCAGATTTATAGAACCCTCATTGATTAATACGGGGTGTCCCCGTTGAGTGGTTCATTCATCACGTTTGGGGAGGGAACACTCCAGAATAGGACCGGTGAATGAATCCGGGTCAAGATTACTGCGCAGGCCGGCATTGGCGATCTCTGGCTGCGTCCGAGCCTTGGGTCGACCGTGGCTGTATCTTTGGTTTCACCCACTCCTTCAGAGGCACCTTCTAAACACTGTTGGGGGCGCTACTAAAGATGGTCAAGCCCAACGAGGGTTCCCTTTTTGCCAGTGGCACTGGGCAACTGCATGGAGTTGTTGTTTTGCGACGCACAAGGCCTACTTTGGAGGCGTGACTGCGAGCGGCCGTGGCGTTTTTCTTTGGTTAGAGCGCATGGTATGCTGCGTGCCGCGCTGCGTGCCCATGTTACGAGGGGGTAGAACGAGCTCATGATAAAGGTCCTTTACTTGAGGGTTCCTCAATTCAGCTTCTGGAATAATACAAATTTGCGGCAAATTCAGTGCTGCGGAAGTGAGAGGCAGGGCTTGCTTGCCAAAAGTGGCACGCGGGAGGCAGAGCCAGCCTCCATCCCATAGGCAGGTACCCTGTTCCATGACCTGGACGCATCGCTGGTTTTCCACGGTGGAAAGGGCCAGTGCTGTGTTGCCTCTTTCATGCACGGTTCGTTGCTATGAGCTCTTTGGTGCATTTTGCCAAGGGATGTTAGGACTTTAACTTTTTGCCAACTAATTGTTTTTTTCGTATCAAGCCACCAAAAGTGATTCACTTCTCGCAGGGCTGCAGATTTCGCCACCGAGCGCTACGTGTGAAATATCACGGCTGCCTTTCGGCAGCTCTTTGGCACGGAAGTAGTGGAGACGGAAAGGAGCGGCCGCTTCGCCTCGCGCAGGCAGCGCGACCCGCTTGCCTTTGGCAAGGCCCGAGGATATTCAAAGGGAGCTGCTGGGAAGCAGCCATTTCAGCCGCCACTGCTTCTAAAGCACTTCGGAAGAATTGCAAGTTTCGGGGTGCATGTGGCAAACACGCTTTTGCTTCAATCAATTAAGCAAGTTGGACTTGATTTGACCAATTCACATGGGCAAGCGGTCAAATTTTGGCCGCGATACCCGATGCAGGCCCAAGCGGCGGACTTATCAATGTTCGCGTGGCTACAGTCAGAGGGCCCAGACGGCATGTGGCCCATTGATGAGATGGCTCATCAACATGTCTGTTTGGAAATAACTTGTCCGCGGTGCCAACTGCCATGCTTTGTGAAAGGGTGCAAGTCTTGTGGAATTGAACGATTCGGATCCATTGGCACGGGTTTCGTTCACTGACCCAGCCGCCCCCCCCTCCCAAGCAACTCCCTGCCTCACCTCAGGCACTCCATCTCCGACTCAGAGCTGGACGAGTTTCTGCGTCGGGGGCCAAAACCCGAGCCTGGATGGGTTTCTGAGGGCTCCGGCTGCATGGCAGCAAGCCCAAGGCCCTCCCAAGAGCCCAAGAGAAAAACCCAAGAGCCGTCCGAGTGCAAAAAAAAGACGCCAGCAACTTGAATCAGACCGTTCTGACACATGTGCCAAGAAGCGCCACATGCCACTTTCGGGATTTCACCGAGCAGGGTATGGAGATCAACTGGCCCAAGGGACCAACAGGATCGGCTCTACTTAGGACCAATAGAAACAGTTCGGCAGAGTAGTTGGACCAACTGGACGTCGTTATTTGACACAAGGTCAAAGACCAACCCAGAAGCCCTGCAAATGAAAAGAACTTGGTCACCTTGACTTGGGCAAGTGAGTCAGCACTGCACAAATACTGCTCAGTGTGCTACGCGGATGGAGCCGGGGAAAAAGGGTGCAATTAGGCGCCGAGTCCCCGAAATGCCCTTGAAACTAACTCCAAAACCGTACCCCCGCAAAGAGACACCCCCCCTTGGACAAAGTAGAGCAACGTTGAAGGAAATTGGAAGGAAGCCTTGTATCGAAACCTGGGGTTCATTGCGCAACCATAAGGGCCAGCCAATGGGTTGCGCAGTGGGTGCTTTGCAGGGCTGAGTTTTGGCCTCCGAGGTTTGCGTTGAGCTTGCAAATCCCCCCGCCTGAGAGACAGCAGTTTTTGGAGTTTTTGTGTTCTTGGGGCAGGGGGGGCCCGTGCCTGTAGCATGGCAAGCCTTTTTTGACTTGCCCTTCCTGAGGCCAGGCCATAGCGCGTGGCAGAGAGGCGCCCATCACTCTGAAGGCTGGGCCGTGGGCGGGCAGAGTCGGCCAGACGCTGAGGCTTTCAGGACGTCACGTGTTACCTTCACTGCAGGCCATCGACTAGTCATGTACGACAAGAGATCAGTAAGCCAAGCCCTCCCCAGCGCAGCATTTGGGCTTGTACGGCACACCTCGGGATCAAGCCATACTCCGGATTCCCGCGGATGGATTTGCCGGCGGGAACTGGAGCCGATCGCTTGGATTTGCGCACCGGGCTGGATGGACGGGAGCTTCGCTTATGCGTGGCAGACCTCCGGGGCTATGAGTTGCTGCAGCTTGCGAGGTCCCTGCTGCCGCCCCGGCCGGGGGGGGTGCTCAGCCTTTGGTTTGGCAACAAGAAGCTTTTGTGGAACCACACCTTGCAGGAGCAGGGCTTGGAGTCCGCCGGCATGTTGACCTAGCGAGCCGACGTGCTCCACGCCTGGCATGTGCTGCAGCAAGCGAATTTGGAAGTTGATGGGGGGTTTGATGCCGCAGCTTGCATTCAAGCCCTAGAAGGCATGACAAAGATAAAGTGGGATCTGCAGAAGCGCATGCTTCCAGTTCTTGCTGCCTTGCCAGTCACATTGCAGGACCTCACTCTTGGCCATGACTTCAACCTGTCCTTGAAGGGAGTTGTGCTGCCCAACAGCTTGCAGAACCTGGCCTTTGGATACAAATATGATAAAAGCTTAAAAGGTGTGACTTTGCCTGGCAGTTTGCAGAGCCTCACTTTCGGTACAAACTTCAACAAAGACTTGAAGGCTTGAAAGGAGTCGCATTGCCAAGTAGCCTGCAACACTTGACGTTTGGCTTCAAGTTCAATCACAGCATGAAAGGCGTAACCTTGCCCGCCAGCTTGCAGAACTTGACTTTTGGCTTTTGCTTCAACCAAAGCAAAGTGTGCAGGGAGCAGCATTGCCAGATAGCTTGCAGAGCCTGACTTTCGATTTTGACTTCAATCAAAACATGAAAGGAGTATATTTCCCCAGCAGCTTGCAGAGCTTGACCTTTGGCAACTGCTACAGCCAACACTTGAAGGGAGTACCTTTGCCCAATAGCTTGCGGAGCCTGACTTTTGGCAACAATTTCGACCAAAGCCTGAGGGGAATAAAGATGCCCAGCAACTTGCAGAGTCTGACTTTTAGCGAACATGTTGGTGGTTTATGTGACGCAGGCGCGGGAGTCACTCTGACCAGCAGCTTGCAGCAACTCACTCTGTCGAATCGCACAGTGTTGAAACGAGTCGCTTCGCTGAAGCAACTGCAGCACCTGACTGTCAGCGGAGGCATAAGCCTGAGAGGAGTCAAGCTGCCAGGCAGCTTGCAGAGCTTGACGCATGGCGGAGGTTTGCAGGGAGCAAAATTGCAGCAGCTTGCAGAGCCTGACTTTTGGCCTCGAAGAAAGTGGAAGCTTGGAAGGAGTCTTGCTTCCGAGCAGCTTGCAGAGCCTGACTTTTGGCGACGACTTTAATGAAAGCCTGGAAGGAGTCATGCTTCCCAGAAGCTTGCAGAGTTTGACGTCCGGCGATGACTTCGACCGAAGTTTGCAGGGGGTGGTGCTTCCCAGCAGCTTGCAGAGCTTGGCATTTGGCGAAGGCTACGACCAAAGCTTCAATCACGTGGAGTTACCCAGCAGCTTGCAGAGTCTGACTTTTGGCGATCACTTTGACCAAAGTTTGCAGGGAGTAGTGCTTCCCAGCAGCTTTGGCATTTGGCGATCATTTTAACCAAGATTTGCAGGGAGTAGTGCTTCCCAGCAGCTTGCAGAGCTTGACATTTGGCGCATCCTCCACCCCAAACTTGGAGGGGGTCAGTTTGCCCAGCAGTTTGCAGAGCCTTACTTTTGCCGACAATTACGATGACTTGGAAGGAGTCACTCTGCCCAGCGGCCTGCACAGCCTGACCTTCGGGGAGGTTGGCGAGGACTTGTTCCTTGACGAGGAAGTTTGGCTGGGAGTGCTTCCCGGCAGCTTGCAGAAGCTGACTTTTGGCAACGGCTACAACCCAAACTTTAATCGCGTGGAGTTGCCCAGCATGCTGCACGTCGTCGCAAATGAGAGCCTGACGATGGATTGCTCTTGATCATGCTGCGATAGTCCGGTGAGCGAAACAAATCATTGCCCGACCGCATGTTCACCTTCAGCCGGACAATCGTGCACTCACTGGATTGAAACATTCTGTTTGGTAGGAGTGTCTCAAAATGAGACCCTAAAACTGATTGGCTCCCTTGTGGAATCCTCAACAAGACTCAAAGGGTACCCTCGCCCCGCCCACGTTTCTGCTTTTGAAAGACAGCCACGATTTCTGCCACATCCCGGCAGCTGCTTCCCATAAAGAGATGTCAAGGATTGATTCAAGCAGCTATGTTCTGAGAAGGACCGCAGGTGATGACATGCTAGGGAGTCATGGGGCCACCAGCTTGTGTTTATGAACTACAGGTCGCAAGAGCCCAGGATTGTATTCAATCTGCCGCTGCTCAACTCACTCGCCACAGTTCCGAGCTTGTGGGTGACTGTTGCGTCCGGTTTACCCGGCATTCTTGGAACCTTCATGGCATTTTTGTCCGAAGCGCTTTGCGTTTCAGATGCCTTGCCCTGAGCAGGGGAAATGTTGACCAAGACGGTCCGCAAAAACAGTCAGGAATCATTCCCCAAGCCTTTCAAACTTTTAGTGGGGTTTGCGACTGCCAAAAAAAGTATCATGGCCCGCTCAGCAACGAACAAGCCCAAGGCATCGCAATGACACCGTGCACCCCTCGCCTCTCTACTCCTCTTCAGGATCATGGCTGACTCAAACAACTCTTTGGTGGCGGGACGAACCCTTAGATGTCAAGCCATTTTCGCAGGTGGAAAATGATTAGGGCTGGGGTCCTTCCTGGGCCTACTCCACTGATGTTATTGAAGTGGATTGTTTGTTTGGCAGTTTGTTAGGGGACCCCCCAAATGGTGGTTTTCCTTTTGGTTTCCCTTCAAACCATGCCCAAAGAGGGTACCATCAACAGAAGACACACCCAAATCATGCTCATGTCACCCCAAGCCTCAAGCCGGGCGCCGAAGGTCTCCTTGGATCGAATGCGACTCCCCCAACCCCCGCCAAACTTTGGGAAGCCTTTTTAAGGCGGCAGTTTTTTTCCCATTTTGTTCCGCTTGATCCCGTAAAATTCCACTTGCTTAATTGGAATATGTTTGATTTTCCCCTGGCTTTAAAGGGAATCGATTTCACTACTGGAAATATGCTTCTTTCCAGCCGGAAAGCAAACGGAGGTAAAACAGCTTTGCCGTTCCTCACGGCAACGAGGACCTCGAGCAATTGCTTACCCAATGGCCCAGCGTCGGGCGGCTTAAGCATTCGTCAAGACTTGTTTGGTTGTGCTGGCTGGGGAATCCCCCTACACAATATGTGTCACAATCAAAACCCGGCTAAGTGCAGGTTAGTAAGGGACAATCCCAACCATACATACCCGCAGCCACCGTCTTAATTCTTTACATGGTTCTGGGTCGACCATTTTCATACCAGGTTTTGATTGTGACTCATGTAGCTGTGGGTCAAAAGTATGTGCCCAATATGGAGCCCTGGTAAATGGTACACATGGACTAAAACCTGCGGTCTCCTGGTGGCTTAATTTTGACCCATACCCATATGTGTTTGGACCAAATTGCCAAACATCATTATAAACAATTTTTGAACAATGAAGCCAAATGGAAAATCGCAGTGGGGACATTTTTCCGATGATGCGTACTTCGCAAGGGATCCAGGAACACTTTGGGCATCCCAGTTAGCACGGGAATCGGAATCTTTGTGATTTGGTTTGACCGAGTGAAATGACAATAATGACATAAAGTTTTGTTGTTTTGTCTCTTTGGGCAGCTCGGGCTTTCGAATGGAGGGTTCAACCGGAGCCAGCGGGCTGGGTTTGGGTGAAATGTGCATTTGGGGCTCTCATCAGTCTTTGGTTTGACCTTCCTGCTTACTTCAAGGCCGAGCCTTTTACCCTCTGTGCGTTCCGTGGTTTGCCTTCACCCATCCCACATGGATGCTTTCAAGAAAATTCCGAGCTACCGACCTGCGACCTCCTTCCAGCATGTGCTCAATTTTGTTCAAGGGACGCCAACTCGTGGCATTCAGCAGGGACCAACAGCAGGTCTAGCTGGTTTCTTGGTTATAGCCCACGCACCGAGGCGGAGTGGTGCCTGGTGGATTTCAGGGCACGGCTGGATGAAGTTAGCAGCCAGGGGCCCAAGGGCCAAGGGCCTTCCGGGCGTACGTGTTAGAGCTTAGCCATGGCCGAAGCCGTTTCGCCTTCTCCGAAACTGTTTGGGTTGGTGGTTTGGAGGTTACCTTCAGCTTGAGGCTGTCACGCCAGCAGAAAGGGCCAAAGTGAATGGCACAGAGCCAATTCGAGCCAGGTGCTAAGCTGAAAGAGGTAGAGCAGGCGTGGGAATCTGCTTTCGGGAGTCGCGCCTTGCGCAGTTGACCCATGACAAAGGGAAGTTCTGGGCACATTTCTCTAGACATGCTCACCTGGCATTTGTGGGCTTATGTCAATGCCTTTTTTGCAGATTTCTGGTTGGTTTCAAAGGAACCCCAAAACGGAACCCCGAAATTCCCCCCCCCCCCGCCCTACGCTCGCTCCTTCAGCCGAGCAGGTGGCCAGGGCCTGGGAGAGGCATGGCCAGGAAAAAAAACCTGCGGGGGACTTCAATTCGTGAGGCTGTTGGGCTATTTGTGGCTCAAAATTGAAGAGCTAGGGCAAACCGCAGGTTTTATCTAGTCCTTGGTTCAATTTACCAAGGGGGCCAAGTTTTGGTACATCTTTCTGAGCCTTTTGGTATTGGACGGAACCACTTTTGGGTTGAAACACAGAGGATTTCTCCCAGAATTTGGTTGAATCCTTGGGACTTCATAACTTTTGGGTTGACACAGACAGGATTGTCCATTCCCAAAAGTGAAAGCTGGTGGAGGCGCGCGCGCGCGTTTGCCCATGTTTGGTATCCGTGTTCCGTGTTGTCACTGGGCCATGCGACTTTCCGCGCATTCGCGGCCTCAGGAACATCATTCCTAGCGAAGTGGTGGGCGGAAGCGAGGCCAAGCTCAGCAAGCTGATCATCCGCACCGCCATCCACGTGAAGGCTGGGCCAAGTTTTCAGGCGACTCTTCAGGCATCCCCCAGCATGAATTGTCGCAACTCAGACTCCCGGTGCTGCCCTTTCTTCCATTTGGTTAAGAATATTTTTCCCCTGTTGGTTTTAAAGGGAATCTATCACTACTGGAAATATGTTATTTATTTTTCCAGGGGAATTTAGCAAATGGATGCCAGCTTGGCATGAACCTGTCTCAACTCAGACTCCTGGTGGTGTCCTTTTCTCTCCTTGAGGGTGGCTGCCCGGCCAAAATCAACTGATGGTACCAAAAGAACTCCACTTTTCTCCCATGGCCACTGTGGGTCTGGGTCAAGGTTTAGCTGCTTGGATGGCCATTGGTTTCAGTTTGCCAGGTGAAATGGAGCACCCTGCAGAAGCTGCTGTTTCTCGACTTGCTGGGCCACGGCGGCATCTACCGAGAGAGCCTGATTCACGTGGGGAATGCCTATGGCTTTGACCTCTCTGTCAACATGGAGGTCCTCGCAGCGTGGTGCCTGCTGCTGGTGAAGCACAACTGCCAGGATCATGTGGGCGTTCTGAAGCGCCTGGGCATGGTGAGCGGTTGGCCCGCGGGTGCTGGGGGCAGGTGGTCCAGAGCCGGAAAGACACACATAAACCAGGGGTCCATGCTTCAAGCTGCAGTTTGTATGCTTCAATTATGCAGGGGGCAGGTCTGACCGAGAAGAATGGGCAATTTGCAGCATCACTTCATTCTGTGGTTGACAGTTCCTTGTCCAGCCCCCATTCTTGGATCGAAGCTACACGGGGCTGAAGGGGAAGTGGGGAGGGGTCGTGCCTGTGTGGCTTCTTGGCGGGGTGCTTCAGAATCAAGAAGCACAAGGGGCATAGTTTGCTGTGGGTCAATGGGCATGGTTTACGCCAAGCAACACCTTTGTGTTGCCTCAGAACTTCTCTTGCGCAACGCGCCCCTGGCTTCCCCTGGATTTCTCCGTATCAGCAAACAGTTCCGTAAGTTGTTGCTGTTTCTTTCGTCGCTGCTTTCCTTCTTTGATGGCTGAGTGCGAAGCCAAAAGCCGCCGCAGCCGAGAGACATTGATGCGAACCAAGGATTGAGAAATATTCTCAACGAATACCGTCAGAATCTCAAACTTTCAAAAAGGGGGGTTTCAGAGTTTCAGAGGGAGCCAACATTCCAGGCGTTTTCTGCAGCACCAGGGCGAGATGGATCGTACCGTGGCTCTCTTCAACGCGCTGGCCGCGAGTGGCAAGGTCGAAACTAGGCGGCTTGAAGATTCGATGGCGTTTACAATGCCACTTTTGCCGACGTCTCGCTGGGCTGATGGAGCAGTTTGGTCAATTCGTATCTCAAATGCCAAGCAACCAAAGTAAAAGAGCAGTGAAAGACAAGCAGCGTCAATCCGAACCTCATGGTAAGAGGACTCGTCAGAAGCACTATGTTTGAGCTGGACAGCTGGGGGTGCTTGATTTAGGAGGCTAGTAGAAGCCCTGTTGGTGTGGCAGTAGGTGTAGCACGGGGCAGCGGCCCCTCAACCCATTGTTAGCCCTGTGCCCCTGCATGAATCTAGCAGACGCTCGAGGAGAAATTTCAGGAGGCACTGGAGACTTACGTTCATGTTGGTGTGACCGTTTGCTTTGTAGAATTAGCCTTTGATGTTTCGCCTTGTCCACTCAGTCTGACTGAAGCCACAAACATGACATGAAAGGATGGAGTCAGGAAGCATGCTGCCACATAGCTTCGAAGGTGGTAAGTCTTCTTGGCCAGGTCATTCTCGGGTCTGTCAGGTCTGCGGCCAAAAGGTGATCCTTGGGTTACAAAGGAGTTGGTGTGTGTAGCCGTTCTCGGATTGCTTTGGGATTGGACTTCCGCCTATTGACAGGGACCCCCCAAATGAATGGATTCCGTTTGGTGTCGCGACCCAAAAACATGGGGTGGCCCAGGGTGTTCTTTGGCCTTGGCACGCCCCTTGTGAAGGCACTATTGTTTAAACGACCTCCTGGCTTCCCTTTCAAGAGGCTCGCAAGTTTGGCTGGGCCGGCTCAAACCATCCCAAAGGGGCCGTGAAATATACCCAAGCCATCCATTTAGGGGTCTTATCCCATTCAACGGGTCGGATTTTTTGCGGGTCTTGAAGGCTTTTGCTACTCACCTCCGTTTGGTGTCCATTCGCGAGCCGTTTTCTTGAAGGCCTTTTACAACAGGCCACATGATGATCTTGAAGAACAGGAACATCAAAGATTCCCCACCAAGGGGAATCTTTTTCCACAAACCTTTGGGTTTCCATTCTCTAGCCGCCTTTTTGGGGGGGTCTCTTTTTTGCGATCAGGTGGAAGTTCCTGGCGCAGGAGCTCTGGGAGACCTGCCAACCGCAGCTCAGCCCAGTGGTGCAGCACCAGGTTTTCCAGGTGCTCCATGCGGGCAAATGCATCGGCCGCTTCTGACGAGTCTCCTTTCGCGGCCTGGCGAAAAAGAAGTGTGTTTGCCTTTATGTCTTTGTTGCCTCCCCTTTTTTGTTTGTATGTGTGTGTTTGTTGCCTGTATGTGTGTCTTTATTTTTGCTAAAACAAACAACTATCCCTGAAGATATGCATTTGTGTGTGTTGTTTTCTTTCCCCAAGAGGACAAAACCTAAGCAACATGGAAGGGGTTGAGTTTTGAGAATGCCCTTTGCCCTTGGTGCAACAGGAAGCTTGAGGGGGAATCCCGAGGAAAGCTACCCTTTTTGAGTTTCCCCGAAGTAGACACAGCCAGGAGGTGTTTGAGGCTTGTTACCCTTCTCAGGTTGGTTTCAAGGAAAACCAAAGGACAGCCAGCGTGTTGGGGAGGTTCCTATTTCGACACCCCATCTATTCCATCTTACGTTTGAGGTTTTGCTGATTGTGGAGATGTTACCGCTTCTCAAGGGTTTTGTACTTGTTGGATCTGATGTTTTTTTAGTTCGGTGGAAGTAGATTGCCACACAATTCCCCATTTAGGCTTAGTCATACCCTCTACATACCCACATAAAGGGAATTGCGCCATCTACTTTTACCCTG